AAGCACAATCTTCCATTGTTTCCTCAGTGACAAGGACATGCCTGAGGATCAGAAGCCACTTGGTTCATGGTGTCTTCCTAGCATTTCTGCTGCAGAGGATGCATTAAGTCTATCCTTCCCCATGTCTTTCTTCTTGTGTTGTTCAAACTTGGACAGAGGAGGTAGATCAGACAGCACAAGCCCTTGTGCCACCTGGAAATGGTACAAATAATATAATTAAAAATGCTTTCATATGCATTTTTTTAATGCTAGTGATGATAATAATAAGGGCACTGGTGTGTTAATACCATTGGCATGTTAAATGAATGGAGATGTTGATGTTTCCAGAGGAACGCACAGAAAGGTTTGTAGGCTGCCTTCCTTTCAGATAGTTTCAAACTACAGGCATAATAGAGTATGCAGCACTAGGCCAAATTATATCTCATCCAAATTAAACTCCCCAGATCAAGTACACTAGAGATATCAGAAGGCTGAACACCCACTATTTTCAATATATTCAACCTTTCCTGAATTACTTGCTAAAGTAGATAAAAAAAAAAAAAAAAAAAAAAAAAAGTAGGTCACATATAATAAATGTTTACACCACTAGAAAAAGACAGTTTTGCTGCAACAGAAAGCTATCCTGGAATATGTCAGTCTCTGGGCATATAATGCCATCATAAAAGTATGTCAAACTGAGGAAATGGGAGACTCGAAGACATGGACTTCTATCTCTGAAAGTAAACCAGAATCTCAAAGAGAAAACAATATAGAGATGATTTCACCTAATCAAAGGATCTGAAATAAATAGATTGCTACAGATCAAGTGTCAGTTTCCAAACAATAAAAAATCTTCACAATATCACTGTCAGTCTGGGAACATTTGTTATACTTGTTAGGCATGTGCAAAAATAAAGCATAGGAAAATCCTCTGTAAAGGTTCACAGACTGTCAGTGATCAAGACAGGGAATAGAACTGATTCACCAAAGCATTTTATCATAAACCAACAGGACTAATATGTTTAGAGTCAGGCACTTGCAGAAGTTTGCTAAACTGGGATAAGAAATTGATACAGATTCGTGAAGCATTTCTCTATACCATGCCTTGTAAGAGTTGTTTCCAGTAGTACTCAAATGTTTTACAAGCTTTATGACAAACACAGTCCTTGTTCTGAAGTTACAGATGGGGAAGGAAGATGATAGTTCTATCTGGTGTAAGTTCAGTTTTGCTCCCCATGCAAAGTGTACAAAATGTTTCACTGGAAACAAAACTGATCCGTACTTTTTCAAAAATTTGGCATGCCCAGTGAAATAACAAATCAATTATGCACAGCAAAGTATTACTTTGGGTACTCTGAAAAGGTCAAAATATTTAAGAATATTATAAATAACTTTAATTGGTGTAATTGTCCTTGGATAAACTGTATTGACACAAAACTAAAGTCTATCCACACATATTTAATAAACAATATTTAAAGCATCATTCTGTGTTCTGTTCTTTTCAGTAAGGCAGTTGGATATTTATTTTTCATCATTTGTTGCTTTATAGTCCACAATCTAAAACCTGCTATAAATAGTTTTCCTACAGTGTTAATCACTGACATTTTTGAGTGCCTCAAAAATGTTACAAATTCATCTGTATGTTATGAATGTTATGTTATGAATTCATAATGTTATGAATTCATAATTCAAAAATGTTATGAATTCATTTGTATTCCTGTGGTATGAAAATGATTGTTTGCAATTTGGTCAGTATTTTCACAGGTGACTACTAATTTTGTGTGCTCTACTTAAGATAGGTATTTACCTGCAGTATTAACACTTTTCCTTCTGTTTTTTGTAACCACTTAATAACACTATCAGCATAAAATTTTACAGTCTATTTTGTCTTTTCTGTAAGTGAATATTATTCAAGTGAATATTATGCAAGTAGCTATACCTAGTACAATGTTAACAATATTTACAGATTTTTAATTTCATGTATTTAACAATATTTTGTCTTCAATCAGGTTTTGGTTATTGAAAAGATAAGTTTCACAATGAAGAATAAAAAATACTTAAATTAATATTTAATTTTGAGCTATATTATCCATAATGCTTTCTATCAAGCATAGAACTATAAAGGCAACTGATAAAAAGCAGGAATATTGCCTTAAGTAAATATATGTATAGATATAAATTCTTGTGGAATATTACAAAGAAAATACAGCATAAAAGTTCATGTCTTTCTCCTGTAATAACCAAGTAAAAGAAAGTAGTAAAAATCAAGATCATCCAAGGGGTCCTTTTTCCTTCACTGTTGTATTAATTGTAAGACAAACAATACTTGCCTCCAAAGACAATTGTAATAGCTTCATCTGTTTTTAAAAACCAATGGTCAGCTCATGTTATCTTTTTTCTTATCTCTACTATAAACAGTATTTCTTATCCTGTAAAAAAGTCTATGAAGGGAGGTGAAGGGAGGATTATTCCATGGGAATGGAACGAATGAGGGAGGATTATTCCATGGTCAGATCAGCATTTCCTATAAATTTTACACCACTAAGAAAAAATAATAGCATAACAAAACCAGAGCTCTCACAAACATGAATAATGCTTTAAGCAGTGAAGAACAGAATATCTACATCTAAAATCTTTATGACAATTTGACAATTTTATGCTGTATTATGGCAAATCTACAAATTCTAATGTGTTCCTAGGAAAAGAATGAATTTAAAACTGATTAGCATGCTATGTACAGTAACATGCTATTATCTTGAGTTTGTCATACTGCCTTTAATCATCTCACATTCCTGTCTCCTATTAAATCATATTTATTTTTACTTCTAGACTCTGTGCTGGTCATGCTTTGCATCCTATAGATCTAGGTAAAAGGTAAGAAGAAACTCTTCTTCTAAATATTGGGCAGCTTATAATTCTAACAATTTTTTTTATTTAAACTTCTCAGATTTTTCTTATTTCGGTATATATTTGTATGGAAAAGTGTGGGGAAGATCTTTCAGGTCTATTTGTCTCAAGCAACTGTTACTTGCCATTTTTTTAATTATCAAGTTTATCAATATAAAGGTGTGAATGAGGAATGTGGTTTTTTCTAAGTAAAAAATTTTATTAGAAGTATGTATTATGTGTATTAAATATGCACAATACTCTTCTTACTGATTCAAGATGGCATTCTAAATTCACAATATTGTAAATATCTAGATGGGCATTTAAATTTAAAAAAACCCAAACTTTTGCCCATGAAGTGTTGTGATTTTTTTTTTTAAATTACTGTAGGACCTAGAGAAAACAAAGGGCAACATCTAGAAAAGAGGACTGTTAACATATTATTTGGGCCAATTACAGTAACTGATGTAGACAATACTTTAAAAAAAATGTGGCTACTTTTTTCAGTTTCTAAATGTAGAAAGAAGTCTAACTTTCGGTTCCTTTCTTTTTCATTTTCTAATCTACTTGTAACTTTTAATGTATTACCAAGCAACTGCAGGAAAATTTGTTGGTTTCATATAATCAAAAAATACTGGAAGAAGGATGTATGAAGACACATTTAAGAGAAGACTTGGAGCTGAAAGAGGAATCAAAAGGCAATATTACTCATGCAATGGGTGTTACAGATTTCATGACTAGAACCACTCTTATGACAGGCATTGAGAGCAGTACTCTTTTGCTTTTCTTGTTTCCATGATCTCCAGCAGCAGCAGCATCTGTGGCTTTAAGCCAAGATGCAAGGTCTGTGGATTAGTCAGTGCAATGGCCTGGCATGCCTCTCTAAATCAGCAGAAGTGCTACATAACACAGGTATGGGATCTATGAAGGAAGCTGAAGGGTCCTTTAAAGTTCTGCAGACCTGCCCCCTCTTCACACCAGCTTGTGTGTGACCATTAATCACGGTGCCACAGTTGTACAGTCCCACAGGTAACAGCCAGGGCTGTATGATTCCTGCCTCTCCACCAGAAATTCAAGTATCAGTCTGTTACAGTTTAGAAAACAAGAATTACAGTTTATAAACAAAAATAAATACATTAAAGCAATTTATTGCAGTTGAGGGTGTATTTGAATGAATAAATATATGGGAGTTGGTTACACACGAACAAGCAGCTACTTGTTCAGGAGAGTTGATCTTGTACTGGTTGAAAAATTCGGTTACTTAAGATTGTGGTGGGAGCGTCTAAGCAATGTCGCATTGGTGTTATCCTTCGTAAGGTGTGTGCTGTTCTTACGCAGCAGCCCAGCTACTGAACCCCTGATTTTTACATTTCAAATCCAGATCTCACATGTAGATTTAATAAAAATTTGGGAGGTAAGAAGGAAGATCATAGATACCAAACACAGCCCTGCTGTCTGGGGGCTCTCTAGCTCAAAGAAAAAGGTGGGTGTTTCTAGTCTTAATTACCGATGAATGGCGATGAGCGCGCAGGGCCGAGCCCCCGC